CGAAATTCCCCACTGGGATCAAACTTAAAGTGAATACGTTATTCTGTACCTGTTCCCAATTCTTGTCTTGCCACTGTTGCATGACCCTGACTTGCATCCATAATAACGCCAGCATTTTTCAAATGAGATTTCAATTGGTAACCTTCAGTGTTAGGATTTAAGAATAGAGACATGACTTTTGGTCAGCAGTTAAGAAAAATGATGCTTGGTACTGGAGGACTAACAATTTTAGGGTTTGTTCACGTTTCTCGTACTTCCAAATTTTAAGCGCAACATACATGTTGGGAATACTGGGTTTCAAAATTGCAAACAACACTCATCATCCTCATGATATCTTACGCTCTTATAATTCATTAGTATCTGGTAAGTTCTGCAAAAGGTGATCCGAAATGCCAATCTGGATGGAGTATGAGATTTATGCAAAGATAAATACTTTTGATGTCGAAACATCATACAGGTCGATTACTTTTCATTCTTTTTACCAGTATGTCAGGACTAATATTGTTGCACAGGGCTTCATCCTTAGACCAACTTTCTGTTCATTCTTATTAGTGATTTTCAAGCACCCATTTTGTTTTGTATTTTTATGGCCAATGATACAGCGATATATGGATATCACTAAGATTTACTAGTTCTTGTATGTAGTCTTTAACAAGGTAGCTATCAACGTGCTTCCATTAAAGAATTATGAATGTTAAATGCTACTTACTTGAAATAACCATTGGCATAGCCTGGATTTACCAAGTGACTTCAATATGAAACTTAGTGGATTGAAAGACACTAGGGTTTTAGTGTGTATAACGGCTGCAATTAAACGCAACTCAATTTCGTAAATGTGCCCTTCAGCTTAGCAACCAATCAGAATGTGGCGGGAATTATTATATCAGACATCTTTGTACGTAATGGCGGCCGGCTTTCTTCGTTCTGTGCTTCTTTTAGCTATTTCTTTTGTGTAGCTATGTAATTAATGTTTCAATGTGCTAAGACGCCGCAGTTAGTGTAATGTTCTACATGTTGGTGTGAAATTTACTTCGAATCAGCATTGTTTTTTGGGTTTTTGGTGCTTCTACTCTAGTCAATGTATTTCTTCAGTCAAGCTGGTTAGTCTTATGTTTTAAAATGAAAATCGGTTTTATTTTGACTTGTTTTCTAGATATCCAAAGCCGAAGTTCGTTTTTTCTTAGCTGAAATAACTGTTGCTGCCTCCTGTGACTAATTGTCCGCGTGTTCATTCCTAACTGTCCTTTATGATGTTATCGGCAAAATGAAAGGGAACAATTTCCGGTTTTTAATTTTCTTCAGTATTGCGGACAACAATATCCCACCAACGAGTCAAACTAATACTTAGTGCCTAGCAGTAGGGGATGTCAGTATTGTTTTCGAAAGTACCCAGGCTTCCGACAACCACAGATGCTACCAATCTATTGCAGAGGGTTTGTTATGAAAAAATATGCCACATAGCAGTAATGGAGGGGTTGTACGCATTACGTAGTGCGTTAAAGCAAGCTTAACATTGAAAAGCCGGAAATCTGCTGTCAGTGTGTAGTGTATGTTTGCTGTTTCGGCCACAAAAGGAAGCCGAAGGGTCATGATCAGGGAGTAAAAAGGTAACTAACTGTTATTAAGCTCAGCTTTTTATAGACCATAATTCACCACTCGCAAATTTGTTATTTTTACGGTATGATGTCAACCGTTATCTAATATGTTCACCTTTACGATGAAATGTACTTGCAAATTCTCAACTTCATATTCGAATTAATTTGTGACAACTGTCTTCCAGTTTGAGTGCTTCGTACGCCCTGGGAGACTAGATTCCTACATTATTCACAGTTCCAGTATAACTTTCTCACACAGTAAGTTCAAAGTAAACACTAGTCTTTCTAAATAAGCATGTTAAGCTAATATCCGTATTCTCTATTTCAGATGATCGATGAAGACATGTACCACGTGCATCTGTTGTATATTGTTATTTTACTCCAATTCTTACTGTTATATCTTCTGAAAAATAAAATTGCTATATGCAGCAAATACAGACTTATTGTTTTGATGGTGGTAGGGGGGTTCATTGGTTTTTTAGCAGGACTGTAGTAATATTCCCACTAAAGAGCTAAGTGAGCGCGTAGACCAATGTAAAGTACCATTCAGGGTGCCTTTGAATTACTCGTGTTCCATTAGTGTCGGTAGAAGCATTACTTGCTTATCATATGACATTTGAATAAGAAGCTATGAGATTAGATGCAGGGACGGTTAGGATGTGTAACGCGTGTCCATCCATCAGTTTTCGTGGCAACTCACGGTGGCTAGAATAAGTTGTGAGAGGACCCGAGCCTGTAGGTTTCCTAAGAAAGTGACGGAGATATGCACCAAATCACCTTATGAAGAGCGCCTCCAATCACTTAACCTCTACTCATTAAAGTATAGACGTTTTAGAGGTGACCTATTTACTTACATGATCCTTAACACTTCTGGACATTTTCTTAAACACCTATTTGAGCTTAGTCCCAGAAACTAGTGACACGACATAGCAGAATGGACTGTAGACGCAACTTCTACTCCTTAAGAGTTGTCAAATGCTGGAATTCGCTGCTCGCCGAACTAGTCCAAGCGACTTCCCAGGAGTCATTTGGGAGGCGACTGGATCTTTTATTGTTAACATACCTAGGTTCCTGCTTGGAGGTTTTGGTGATCCCCTGCTAATAGACACGGAAGCATGAACACATGAATTAGGTGATGAGAGGCTCGATTATCACAAGTTTCTTGCAACGATTAAGTAGATAAAACAAAGCAGCATTAGGTTCAAAAATTTATTCGAGAACTTTCATTAAGAATCGAATATGAAACAAAGGTTTAAACCAAGTTCCAGTCTAAAAGTTGCATTTGTAATGTTAAGCTGCAGTTTTTGTTGTTTTTTCCAAACGAAAGGGTAAAAGAAGTAACTCAAAAAGTACTGGAAGTGGTTGTGAGATGAAAATGGACATCCAGCATCCTTTTTATAATCTGCTGTTAGTTGGGTCTCCCGTAAACAGATCCATAGGGCCATAGTTCTAAGGGCGAAACAGTTCTTAACATCTGTGAAGACTCAGTCCTGTTGCATTCTAAATGAGAAAACAGTAATGAATTTAGTCAGAAATGTGGAATAGATAAATAACCAAATTACATGTATTTTAGCAAAGAATTTATGCAGTTGTGATTTACCTTTAGTTCATGAATATTAGGTCAGGTCAGCTATTTATTGTGCAAAGCATAACATGGAATTAATACCGTATCTCAATGCTTTTATTATTTTGCTCTCATTTAAGTATTACCATGTATCTGCATCTAGTTTAACAGGGAGACATACAAGCAGAGTTAGTGTTTGATGAACTAAAAGTCCTAGTTGTCAAAAAGATTCTTAACATTTGTCCACAGCCAACTGCATTTAATTGAAATACAGAACACTCATCTTCTAAGACTGTATACTGCTCTTCTGCGGGCAAATAAAAGCTCACACACTTAGCTATCCTGCTACCGATGTTATTGCTGGGGAAATTGTTTAATGACAGTGATCATGAAATATGGTCAGTGATAGATGTACAATCTAGAAATAAACACCAAACATACTTATCGCTCTCTTATAATGTATGACAGCAACAGTACCAAAAGCACTTTTTTCCTATTTTTAATCAGACTGATTTGAATCAGTATACTCATCAGAAACAGGCAACTCTACTTACTAGGCTGATCTGTTTCGTTACAGACTTCAAGCAAAATACCATAATTCTTTCAACTAAACTGAATTATACGACAACCAAGAATACTAAACTAAGCAAGTGTCATAGTTATTGTTTCATTTGCACAGGCATATTGCTTAAAGTAGTTAAATGGACATAATTAAGACGATAAAACAAAAACACGAAATATAGGCCAATTGAACTCACCGAACAGAAGACAAAGAATATATATATTGCTTTCCGACTGAAAACAACAGGTAGTTGTTCATAAAAACATAGTTTATAGTACAATAAACCTTTTTACAGTAAAATCATGCACTCACAGTCTATCTGGAAACAATCAACTATGTGAATAAACTCACTATGACTTGAGATATCATCCCAGCATGCAATGGACGTGCAGTGTAACGCAGTCGAACGTGGCGAATAAAAATATAAAAAAAGATCAAAATTAGCTATATAATCTAGTTATTTAATTAAAAATACATTATGAAATGTCAAAATCTGTGGTTACTTGAACGCATAGATGACCGGTACATTAAGTTTACATGGTTGCGTTGCGGATAAGATCACCCGTGTATAACAGATCTAATTTCTGTTTCTGGTGAGGTTCGTTGGGTAGTAAGGGCGATACTGATTGTGAACTTATGTTTTGGGCTAATTATAACCTTATTTCCATATCATCCGAAACCGTTTGCAGTAAGAGGAAAATTCAAATTTACCGAAAGCTTTAGTTTTTACGTGCGTTTACTTCAAGAAATGCGTTTCTTTTTTAAGTTAGTCCAGAGGACACTCATGAGGCAGTTGAACTAAGAAACAAATTCCGATTCGATAACTGAAAGGGCTGAAACTTCACCGTGTCAATGATCAAATAGTTAAAGAGGATTCAGCGACGGTTCCTTATATGGACTGCTATATCTGGCATTCTTCACTCCCAAACTATTGTTCGTAACAGCACTTAGTAAAAGAGCATCCAAGGTCCGAATACAGAAAGTTGGCTCAAAAGATGTGACAAAATTTTACAGGCCAACCAACGTTTTATGAAAGAAGATGAAAATTTATCAGTATTAACTCAGTAGAAAACTGTATATACTTTGGAATAAGTGTGGTTTGACCTTTGCTCAGGTACCTCTACACTGGTCAGTTTTAACCGGATTCATGAAGAACTGGTACATGAATTTGCACAAAACAATTACAAGAATAGAGCATACTCATCATATAAAGGAAATGTTTTGCTCAACTCTATGTATGCAGCAATTCACATTTTCCAGGGGTTTTGTTTGTATCACTACATTCTGCTAGCGCTCTAATCAGTCTTGACCTCCATTTGTCATGAATGTGTCGGAATTGTCGATTATAGGATGTCGCGTCAGTATAATATCTAAGGCTAAGATAAGATATGAAGGGCACCTTCACTCCATAGATTTTGACACGCCCAATGAACCTGTTATTACTCTTTCAAAGGGTATTTAGCGTTCTTTCTTAGTTTCATTATTACAGTTTGGTCTTTTGGCACTGAGGACCGCCCTTGTGAGCGACCAGTTGCTCCTCGGAATGAAGAGTATAATCAGGTGGTGTTTCGTGGCCGGGATCTAGACGATGTACGTGTCGTGCAGTCTTCTGTATTTTTAAATGAAGACTCAGCAATCGTTAGTGCAGCGCCTGGGGTATGTACCTTTTTCTTCTTATTTATGTAATCAGTCTGCTTTGTCCCACCCCCCTGGACTACCAGTTAATGAAAGTAGAGGTCGCTTGGGTGGGTTTTCATTTTGTTACTCTATTTCTTGTAGATCTTAATCCTAGTCGTGTTTCTACTGGATGCTCAGAATTGTCTCCCATACCAGCATCTCAATCTGTCTCACTTGATAGCCTAAACCAGAATATTTACCCGAACAATTCTTCATACAAGGTCCCTGCAGTTTGTTGTCGGCCAGCTCCTATAGGGACTGTTCATGCTGATAACCCCCAGGTTTCTGATACTCGTAACCAAAGACCATTTGGAGATAAGCGTAGAGACATAGACCCAGGGGTTTTTAGCACATCTGGAAGAAAAGGTGCAAGCTCTAGGGATGCTCAAGAGTCTGGAATAGGTCCTTCTAGACATCGTGCTGTCTTAGGATCTGGTGTGCATAACGACTACCCACAGCCATGGGTTAACCGAGATCAAGTGGTTAGAAAGGATGACACTTACAAAAATACACCTAATTATTATCAGGGGCATGATTATTCAAGAGATAGACGCGGAGGATATAGTCAACAATGGTCAAAAAACCATCGTGGATACAAGGGTTCTGGGCATGCTTATGGTGTTTGGGGTGTTCGGTCAGCGGATGGACATGATTGGCCTAAATTCAGGTCAAATGCATCTACAGTAAATGAGCACACCAACTTTTCGGTAGAATATGACTATGAAAGAGCTAACGCAGAACTTGCAGCTGAGTTGGAAAAAATAACAATCAGCACTGTAAGTGTTGGATATACTGTGATTTGTTTCTAGAAAACAGGTACTTCAGTCGACAACGCGGAGAATGATAGAAGCAGCACAACTGAGGATGAAAACACGTGCTATGATAAGTCCAAGTCGTTTTTCGATACTATTAGTTCCGAGATGATGGACCGCGCAAATGGGTAACTAATAATTTCATTTGAAATTCTGAGTGTGTGAAGTATAGCCTTGCTTCTTTTTATTTTAAAAATATGCCTTTAAAACAACGTGTTTTGTCAATTTCTTGTGTTAGGAAGTATCTCGATACCTGCCGTAAACTACACAAGCACCGATTCGATAATTGGATTTAGTTTGTATTTACAACCGATCTAAGTATTTTATAGTTTCTTTACTCTTTGAGTTTAGTTTCTCGAGAATAGGGAAAATAGCTGTGTAGTAAACTGTCATACTTTCAACGCACTATATATATATATATTACGGCCGTTGGCATACTGTTGGGTTTTGAACAACACCAGCGTTGATACTATTCTAAACTTGGGTACATTCCAGTAATCTCTTCGACTTGGTTTCTCACAATACCTTTTAAATGAGCGTATCATGTTGCCTTATCGATAAAATCAAGAGGCAATGACCATTGATGTCGAGATATCTGATTTTCAACTTTAGGGTTAGCGACTAAAACTTTGCTCTAGTTTAGTTTGCATAATTGGATAATGTATTTTATGGATACGTGAAGTTGAGTGCATAAATATCTACTTTGTTGTCGAGTTACATAAGAATGTTTTACAGCTCTGGAAACTACAACTAAATTCAGGTACATGCTGAACATTGTTAGCGTAAGTATTTTGATTATAAGCTGTTAACTGTAAACAAAGCAAATCTCACTTCTCAGAATTAAGTTACTAGTAACATTTCAAACTGATATAAGCTTCCAAATATTTACAGCTAATTTTGTGGGACTAATTTTCGTGGCAGTCAGAAGGCGTTGAGATCATACGTGACTTTTTATCCCAAAAGTCTTATTCAGTTCATTAAGTAATATTAGTAATCTATTACATCTAGTATTGGAATCCACTGTGTAGCTCTCATGGGAATCGTGTCATGTACTGTGAATAGAATATGCTAATAGTTAAAATGTATGTGAATATTGTTGTTCTTATTCAGTCAAGTTTGGAGCTTTTAGGTTTGGTTCACTTAACACCCGAAACGTAACCATTTTTCCTTCCGAACACTGCTGATTGTATTCGTTCATTCATAATATAAGTTTTTTATAAGCTAGGTTTTCTAGTTTACTCAGTAGATATCGCAACCATAACATTTACTACGTTTACCCTAACGATTGGCTTGATTGGATATGATTGACCTAAAAGGTATGATAGCTGTGTCTATAGTGGAGTATTCTAAATTTGTTAGGTTGTTATACCTTATTTTCAATTTTTATACTTCTGTTTATCACTCGAGCGTTTTTGTCTTGTTTACATGTTTAATGTTAAGCTTATCATAGTCACAAAATCATATACCAGTTATGATAAACTAGATGGTTTCCGTTTGCTAGTACCTATTAGTCTATTATTCGGTATTTCTAATTGATTTTTGCCTACTGCTTACTAATTTAACGAAGTTGTGCTTTATTCAGCCTAAATCCCCAAGGAATGAACAGACGGTACGAAAGACTCCTCAATTCAGCAACTTTTGGTACTGTTCCACAGCAATATCCCAGAAGGATAGGATATCACAATCAACGTTCTTTTGGATATGGCCAAAAAAGAGGGGGTAATTCATCTAGTGGAAACTTCTGGCGATCTAGTGGTACTGGAACTAATAAGTCCCTATTCTCCAATTCATCAGACGCACCTCCTCCAACATCTGGACGAGCTGGTTGATATGGCTCTTGTACATTTTACTGCAAATAATCACTTCAATACGAAACTCCTTGATACAAAATGATCGACCGGTATTCAAACTTATCTCGGTCTTCGCAGATGACTTACTAACTCATGTTTCTATGAGACTAATTTAATTATTTTTGATTGACAAAATGCATACTGTAAAACTAGTTAGTGCTACTGTTGGTATAATACTGTTCGGAATAGAACTGTATTGTGTTTAAACACGGTTGCATTTATTGTTTGTTGTAATTGCTTTTCGGTCTGACTGTTGGTTTAGTTCGAACAGTTTACATTTTTTGAAATATAATCATGTAAATACCTGTTTTGCAAATATATTTGAAATAATAACTAATTCAGTGCCCTGGTACGGCCGAGAGTGGGGAGAGTCCGCTCTCCCTCTCGAAATGCTCTCACATGGTCACGCGTATACAGCCTCCGCCAGGGAAGTCCTACTCACTGCCTTCTCGTGGCGGGGGTGTTGTTTACGAAAATGAGAGGACGAAAAGCGAATGTCCGGCGCTTTAACCGGATTCCAAACCAATGGTGCACATGGGCTCCAGTATTCTGCGGGAACATATGGCGTATGAAGCAATTGTTGATCACCGGCTTCCATGAGACTGCATCTACTGACGATGCTCCACTGCCTTGTGGACCAGACCTTCAGGTCGAAGGCTCCAGGTGTGGTCCCCTAAGAAAACCACCTGCTTCGGTTTGGGCACCCGGGCAGTATCACAGCTCTCACATATATCGAATGAGATTTATGTGGCGCATATGTATTTCGTGCCTCTTTGTACCAATATCTATGTGTTGAAGTAAATAAATACAGTGATGATTGCTCGTACACCTCTATGATGTTAATTGTATTTTTCGTGCTATCATTTAGTTTAATTGTTCGTGAAGTATTTAAATATTTTGTTCACTGTTTGTAGACGAACTAGTAGAAAGTAATCCAAGCTATTCATAAGTTGACCGAGTTATGCTGTCTTTTAGTCTGTATTTTATCAAGCTGTAATAGATGACTGTTGGTACGGAAAACGTTTTTTTGGGGAAACATAGTACTAGGTTTCAATAGTCCTTTTCTAGACAGACTTTAAGGCAACACGTTTAAACTAGGTATTAGATTACAGGTATCTGCTGGCGTTATTTTGGTTAACAGTATGGTCTTTATATTTGAGGTTTTTCTACCGAACAGCTGGTTTTAGTTGATTTTGAGTAAAGCAAGTTTTCTGTCGATTGATGTACTGAACTGTTAAAACCATTCATCCGTCATGTGTGCTAGTAAGTAGAATCCATTACTTGCTCATTATCAATTTTATGCGTCAGAAATTTCTCAGTACATAGAAAATATGAGCAAAGTTTGAACACTACTGTTATGAAGTAATTAGGAATCGTTGCTTAAGTAGAAGAATTGGATAGTTACTTCTAAACATAATCCAGTGATCTGTTATTGGGCTTTATTCTATATTTACTGTGTAATAGGTAACGGAGTACGGAAATTAGGAGGATCAAGAAAACTAGTTTTTTCTCATCCAGAATTTGATATCGTTGTTCGTTAACGTTATATCATAAGGAATATCCTATCCTTTTTCCCTTCATTATTATATACCAGTCGCATCCAGATGATACACTGACTAACTTTTAGGATAGGTCGGTGTAAACCCGAGACCTTAAATTAGGAAGAGAATATCTTCGTAAGTTTGTGGGTAGTTATGCGTGCCGGTAATTTGAATAACACTATTTGGAGATGAATGTATTTTTAGCGTGATTCAACGAATCTTGGCACGATATGAGAGACAAAAGACTGATGGCTATGAACAATTACTATTCAGATATCTTGTTCGTGTTTCAAGTCACAACTATACTTTCGATAGGGATGGATTGTTATCTGCAATGTAAGTAATGTATTAGATTTTCGTTTTTCTTCGCGGCTTTTTTTATGCTAGTCCCTTATCGGAATGATGAAGTATGTTTCAAAGGGTCCGAGTGTTGGGAAGGGACGTCAGTCTAATTTAAAATATAGACCCAGTTTTGAAGAGAATAACCTTTTTTGTTTTGAATAGGACTAGTATAGCAATATCATAAGTAAGAAGACCAAATATCTAGGACAAGAAGAATTAGTCAAGGATATAGAAATACCGAATTTAACTGTTTGAGGCCATAAAACATTACATAATTAATAATTAGTTACTTAATAATAATCTTTTGGGTGATAATTTCTGTATTCAGTACAGAGATCATCTACAACAACAAGATTGCTCTCAAGCTATTCAATCCTACGTAAGTGTGACATTTAATACTCTAAAAAGCAGTGTAACTCATAAACAATTCCGACTGAAATTTTGTTCCGTGTAAATTCAAATAAGCGATAATGACTAAATAACTTGGGATGGTGATTATGTTTCCTGACAAATCAACATTCGAAGACAGTAAATTAATGAATTACTAAGTTATATGACATGATAAATGTAAGTAGAGATACGAATAATGTTTTCCAAGAGCATAAAATATAAGATAAATGAAATGAATAGATCTTGGTTCTCATCTTAATTCTCGTCCATTGCAAGTTAAAAGTTTGGATAAAGTCTAGTGCTTAAAATATAGTTTGCTATAGTTTTATTGATTTGAAGAGTTTTAAGGTGAGTACTTCGTGAGGTCGCTGACGAACTCTTCAGCATAGTTGGCTTACGGATTTTTTGATCAAGTGGTCCGCAATGTTGGTGTACTGTTTGTTTTGTTTTAAAGTGGCGTACATCAGTCCAATGATTTATGTGATTGTAATGAAACTCGACATTCAAGATTGACTAAATAGATCGTCACTGTGTAAATGTAACTTCTGTTAAGAAGTATTCGTTTATTGTTGAACATCACAACATGAGTATCTAGTTTACTGAGCGAAGTTATACGTGATTATACAAATATACAGATTGCTATTTTATGCAAAAGTTCAATCGAAATTCCCCACTGGGATCAAACTTAAAGTGAATACGTTATTCTGTACCTGTTCCCAATTGTCAGTTGAAGTTGTGTATCATGTGGCTAATAATCTGGTGCATTATTTGGTATTATAATCTAGCCTGTCCAACCGATTATCTTATTTGTCAAACAGTACTAATTTGTTATCAAGCGCGCAGAAGCATAGGTTTTCAACTCTGTACCAGTATCTGATGTCTATTTGCATCATTGGTTTCATAATGTATGGTTGATGTTTATCATACAAATAATTAATGTGACGAGCAGAGGATTTATACATATATAGTACTACCGATGATGAAGCAGAGTTGGTTGGAGAGTGCTGGTGGGCGGCCTATGCTCCTCCATAAGGGGTAACAGGCGTAAGTTAGTAAGTAATTGCTTTTAACATAAATGAATACTTTAGATACTTATTAAAAATCTATAACACAAAATCCTTCTTCAGAAGATTTTAGTGCAGTAAAAAATCCCATTGAAATATTTCAATGATAAGCAAGTTATGCTGAGAAATACTTACTTTTAAATGACTTTTCTTTATAGATCCATACATCCTGTGACTTGTTCAGCAACCCATTTTTATTTGAATTGCTGAGTTTAGAAATAACAACTTCGAAGATAATTTAGCCAGTTGTCACAAATAAAGTGGCATTAATTGAACTAAGGTTATACCAATTTCCAATAGACTGATTACCCATTACCAATGGGTTATCTAAGAAAATAAAATGAAAAGATTTCTAAATCGCTTGTGATTATAGGATTCTTAAGTAAAGTATTGTGATCATATCCAAAATTAAATGATATCATTAATCGACTAGTGTAATATATTTAGTTTCTTTGATAATACTGTCTTATTATTGTGGAATTTAAGTTAAAACTGTGACATCTACATATCAAAGATTCAGAAATTTCAGAAAGGAAAATTCAAGAAAGAAATCTAGAGTAGAAAATGAAGCAGCTATTGTTGTTTAGTATTCATTTAGTGTCAGACGATAAGCCACTATCTCAAAGGACCAATAAGAACTCTAGGCTTCTCGTATATGTTAATGAGTCATTGGTCTAGTCGTATAAGTCGATGTCTCTATTTGGAGATATTGTCTCGTAATATATTAACAGGTCTATGGAAAGATGATAAAGTGATTCGAGATTCCAATTGTCAAATGAGATCACATAATAATCAGGGGGTTATTTTAGTTATCTGAAGAAATTAAAAAAATTCTACTTGAGTTTTATAATATTAAGGAAAATAATTTCATCTTCTAATGAAATGTCATATTTAACTATATGGGTGTAATCGGCTTATATTTTTCATACAGTCGAGTTTAGTCTGCACTTTCAGACTAACCGTCCTCAATTTAGAATTGATACAGTTTCATTTCCTGTTGCGTCATTTAATATTACTTGGAATTCATTTGTATATCACTTCTCGAACAAATTATTATTTGTGTTTCATAAATGATATACATATAAGTTATTTAAACAATTTATTAGTCAATATTTGTATTTTATGTGAGAAACTATTCTGACTATTTATAAATATGGAGTTATATTCCATATTTGATTTGAATGATGAAAATCAACGTCACAACATATACAAAGAATATATATATATATATATATATATATATATATATACAAGCATTTGTTTTGTCACATTTTTCTAGTCTAGTTTTGAGTTCATAATTTGAATTAATTACGATAGAGGTCAATGTATTTGAATGATAGACAATTTTAGCGAAATGTCCTTGATTATATTATATATCTAATTTTTTATTAATCAATTTCATAGTTTATTTCAATAAGTACATAATAATTGCGACATTTAAACATAGTAGATAAGAAAATCTTTTAATTAGATACTTATATATGACTGGTATCGGTTTAATCTAAATATTTATACAGAGTATAAATTTATGTAATGGGGATTATTGATCGGCTTTGAAATATTCATTCTTATTCTAACTGGTAAGCACGCCATTATCAGAGTAGAAAAATGTCTAGGTAAATTTTAATATAGACACAGAATATTGGTTTTCTAAGTTTTACTACTTAGTAATAATTAATAGTATGAATATAGTACTAGGAAATATCCATTTTCACAGTTATATTTTGTTTTATAGAATGTTATAGTTTTATAATATACCCTTGTGGGCCAGGGTAATTTTACATTGGTTTTCAGGAGAACCAGACACCATACAGACTTTCGAGTGACAACGCAAGCAGTACAGCTCAATCCCGTTTAACAGGAGAGCCAGACACCGCTTAGGCTAAAATTTTATAACCCGACCAGTACAGCTCAATCCCGCTTCACAGAAGTACCAGACACCTTATAGGCTTTAATGCTACATTCTGAATAGTACAGC